TGAAAGCCAGCTGCCTAACTTCCAAGCAGTGCACAGCGTGGCGTTGTCCTGGTAGATTTATCAGCTTCTCATCTTCAGTTTTACATTTCCAGAAAGACCATTTTATCTGTGCTTCACAATGTATCTGACTCATGGAGATTGACTTGTGCTTTTTAAACTCATAAGAAAAGCCAGAATTCTAATTAGTTAATTTATAATGAGGAATAAAATTTTCAAGCATACCAAACTGTCATGTCAGCCTAATAAAAGCATTCTATCTCTGTAAAAACCATATGGGACGCTGAACTATAATCAGAATATTGTTTAGTGTTTGGAATCAGAGCAAGGGGAGTTGGTTATATGATTACAATGATTAATGCTCTTAGACTCTGACTGCCTGATTGTAATAGAACTCTTTTGGTTGTAATTGAGAGAAACACAATTAAAATTTATTTTGGGCAAAAAGGGGAGTTTATTAAGAATGTTGGAGTACTTTGTAGAAGTCTGGGAAAGTCTGAAAGTCTGGCTTCAGAGTTCACTGGAATCAGGAGTAGAAAACCTTCAGGATTCTCTTCCTGTTGGCTTCCCTCTGAGGACCAACTTCTCCCACATGGTGGGGAGCATTACATCCCTTGGTTGCCGTGCCATCCCAGAAGGACTTTCCTCTTGGTTTCCGCTAAGAAAGGCAATCCCAGAGGACAGTGCTGAACAGGCTGATATCTGGGCCCATCTGCTGTCAGTAGGGACAGGAATGGTATAGCAGAGCCACATGGCCCCACTTGCTCCTGGTAGTTCCAGATGATGACTTAAAGTCACTCACATCCATGTAGTCCAGCTGTGCTCCCAGAACCAGAGCGATCAGTCTGTGAACCAGGATACCTCTTCCCGAGGACAGGGCCTAGAACAAATCCCTCCCTTGTCTTTCTGACCTCTTCCTTTCCTGAGTTTCTCTGAAAGCCATTTCTCTTCTAATGGACTTGGTTCCCCCCTTCCCCCCCACTTTAGCTGATCTCTAGGAGGAAGGTCCATGTTGCTTTCTCATGTTTTTATTCTTAAAAGACCACTTTCCTTCAGATTTGAAGAGTGCATAACATAGCCCTTATTTATCACTTAAGGATTATTGCCCTGTTTTCAGATTTAAAGGGGGGAGCACTCACAACGAATTTGTAAGGAATTGACTAAAAGTTGTTATTAAATATTATAAAAGTTTCCATTTTGTTCAGCCATGATGTCTTTTTAGAAAGATAATCTTAATTTTTAATCTTTTACCTCTATCTACTTCACATTCTCAGTATAGTAAATTTGTCTTTATATCACAATTTTATTTTTGTTGCTTTAATCATTGAACAAATAATTTTCACTGCCTACTTTGTATCAGACTCTGTGGTAGGAGGTGAGAGTAAGGAGAAGAAGAAGGGGTGAAGGCAGGAGGAATGGGGTTCTGTCTGCTTTGAGTAGAGCGATACCTAAATACTGACTCGCAATGTCAGCCTGCTCGAAGCAACTCTCCAATGTTTGATTGACAAGTTCCTTGTCATCTATTAACACTTATACATATATTAAGATTATGGAATATTTCCATTATATAAAGTATGCTTCAAATACTCACCTACTTATTATCCTGTTATAATGTAAGTTAATATTTCTAGTATATTTGCTTCATAAAAGAAATGATTTAGCAGAATTTATATAGTCACTCAATATATCCATCCAAATGAAGAACATTAGCTTCCAAATTTTCACTTGGCAACAAGAAAACAAAACAAAACAAAACCCCCCAGCTGCAATGAATACCTTATACACATCTCCTTGAATATATTTTCAAGGGTTTCTTTATACCCCATAAATATACACAATTAAAACTTTCAAAAATTGTTGGTCAGGTGTGAGGGCTCATTCCTGTGATCCTAGCACTTTGGGAAGCTGAGGCAGGAGGATAGTTTAAGGGCTGGAGTTCAAGATCAGCCTGAGTAAGAGCGAGACCCTGTCTGTACCAAAAAAATAGAAAAAAATTAGCTGCGTGTGGTGGTGCACCCCTGTAGGTCTCAGCTACTTGGGAGGCTAAGGCAGGAGAATTGCCTAAGCCCAGGAGCTTGAGGTTGCAGTGAGCTGTGATGATGCCACTGCACATCAGCCTGGATGACAGAGTGAGACCCTGTCTCAACAAAATAAAACAAACAACTTGTCAATTTTAAATAACATTTTTAGAAAGAGTAATGAGACATATGTACCTTCAGTTTTGCACTGAAGGGCTTGAACATAGTCTTTCATGTTCTCGTAAATATTATAGGACTTTTAATTTTTATCAGTCTTTGTGAATATAAAATGGTAGATCATTGTTTTACTTCACATTTCACTAATCACTGAATTTAAGACTGAATTTTAAGACAGTTTATTTTCAAATATATATTAGCCATTCTGGTTTCTTCTACTGTGTATTGATTTTTCTAGCCTTTGCCCAATTTTCCATTGGAATTTTGTCTCTTATCAATTTGCGACAGTTTTTTAAAAAAATTATTCTGAGTACTAATCCTCTTTTGGTTAAATTGATAATAATTTCTTCTAGTCTATGACTTTTGTTGTAACTTCATCTATAGTGTCTTTTGAGCAACAGGTTCAAATTATAGTTTACTCAAGACCTATGTATGAAATGCCACACTGTAAACCTTTTACAAATTACATACGTGTCTATCCATGTATACATATCCATTCATCTATATGCAATATATAATACCATATATGCATATATGTAACATTTTTATAACACTAGACAACTAATTTAGGACCATTTGACCCAGTCTTTCCTGTCTGATTTGTAAAGCCATTTCCATCATACACCAAATTCCCCTGCAGGTCTATTTGTAGACTTTATATTTTATTCAATTGATTTATTTATGTTTCCCAAACCAAAATGATATTGTCTTAATTGCTACAGCTTTATGTTAAACTTTGATATTTGGAAGAGGGAGTTTAAACATCTGATGCTTTTTCAATGTTGTCATGACTCTCCGTGGCACTTCATAGAGTCATGTGAAATTATTAGAATTTGTCAAGTTTCACAAAACAGCTTATTGGTGTTTGGATTTTCACTCCTCTACATTTGCTGAATAATTGCCATTATATATTGAACCATCATCTCATCCATAAATAGGGGAGTTATTTTATGTTCTTTGATAAAATTCCATAATTTTCTCTATAAATGTCTTATGTATCTTCTGTTATATCGTTCTTATAAGAAACAGATTTTGTTGCAATTATAAATGATATTTTTCCATTTTAATTATGCTTCGTAACTTCTTATTGCAGGAATGTGGATGTATGCTATTTTTGTATATTGGTCTTGTCTCCAACAACCTTGTTAAAACTTGCTTATTATTACAATTTATAGATTGTCTTGGATTTTTAATGTAAACAACCTTGTTATCCATGAAAGATGAAAATTTTGTTTCCTCCATAACAATTATTATACTGTATTTATGCTTATTTTTCCTGATTGACTACCTTCTCTAGGCTCTGTATTACATTATTGAATGGAAATTCTGAAGGAGATCCAGGAATATCTGAGTAGGATTTTCATAAGCTTAGTATTAGTTCTCATTTATTCTGTTCTTCTCATATTAATGCTGCCTTTCTCTCTTCACTTTAAGAATGTTGGATGGTCCTGGACTAGTAGCCACCATAGGTAATTTTACTGAGAGGAAAATGAGAAGTTTGCGCCATTTGCTCAATATCTAAGTTCAAGAGTGCCCTCTTCTGTTCTAATAGTGAAATAAAGTTATTTAATGAATGATGTTTTTGGGGGTGCTGAGGAATAAAAGGGATGGATGTCTACTGATACTGCAATCCTGCCTTATGGCTCCATGATCCTTGATTCGGGTATTGGTGATTTCTTATTTTTGTTGCCTTCCTAGTTTCCTCTCCCTTTCCCAGAAGCAGTGCCTTGCCAAGACTGCCGTTCTGGTGCTGCTTGCTTTCTTGCAGTGTTTCTTCATCATGGAAGGATGCTTTCTCTGGGGGAGATGAGTACGTGTTCCATCTGAGCTAGGGACTCTTGCCACCTCTCTTCTCTTCTGTGTAATCCCTCTCCCTCATCCCCGGATTGTGCTTCAGCATGGGCTTGATCTGGCTCTTCTGATCTGGACTGTTCTCCTACTTAAATGTAAATTGGGGTTTGTAGTATTTGCTGCCTTCCACTATACTCTACATATGAGCAATGGTGTAATTTTATTTGCTTTGCTATAGACCTGTGTGGTTTTGGAGAATGTATGTGGATATTTGGACTCAAGAAAACGAATGGTTGAGGAATGTGTTACGGCTCTCCTCTATTACTATGGATTTGTCATTTTACACTCGCTTAGTAGCTGTCTCAGTTACCAAAAGGTCTGTCGTGGTGTGTAGTGCTTGTGTTCAAGTAACCCTTATTTTACCTAATAATGGAACCAAAGACAAGATCAGTGGTACGAGTAATTCAGATATGTCAAAGAAAAGCTGTAAAGTGCTTTCTTTAAGTGAAAAGGTAAATGTTCTTGACTTAAGGAAAGAAAAAATCATATGCTGAGGTTGCTAAAATCTATGGTAAAAGTTGAACCATAAAATTGTAAAGAAAGAAAAAAGAAATTCATGTTAGTTGTGCTGTTGCACCTCAAAACTGCCAAAGTTACAGCCATGGGGCATGATGAGTGCTTTGGTAAGATGGAAAAGGGATTAAATCCGTGGGTGGGAGACATGAACAGAAACTTGTTCCAATCAAGGGCTCTCAGGGTCTGTACTGTCTGCTGTTTCAGGCATCCCCTGGGAGTCTTGGAACACATCCCCCCCCCCCCCATAGGGAGTGCTTCTGTAATTGAAGGAGGTAGCGGGTCATACTGTACACAGAGCCTGGGAGAATTGTGGGGTTTAAAAATTGTATTAGGGCCAATCTTTCCTAAAATGTTTTTATTTCACATAAAGTATATACCACTAAAAATTTAAACTATCTTTTGAAATCATTAATTTCTCAAACACTGACTTATCCCTCTTAGGTTTACAGTGTCAACATACTGTGAAAGCTATCCTCCGCCATACGATTATCAGCCACGTGTGAGTACAAGAGCCACATTGTTATATTTATGTAGTTAAAGTGATTCTTTGCATTTAGTGTAAATAGCCACACTTGAGAAGAAAAAAAATTGCTGATATTTGTGATATTTTATTTTCATTTAGAGATATTAGGTGTTTGTTGGAATGTTTTATGGTTATGATTTATTTTTTAAAGTTTATGGATTTCGGGGATAAAATATTGCCATCTCTAAAATATATTAGGCGTACTTTATTGTCCCCCTTCCTGAATTCAATTTATCTGGAATAAGAACCTACTTTTCTGTTCATTTGCATTGATTGTATCAATGCATAAAATTAAGTGGCTTAATTTAGCTCTGGAAATGTGTACGTTAATAAAGAGTCCAGTTTATGAGTTGGATATATTTGTACTTTAAAAATTATGCAACGGAAACAAAACAGGCAACATTGTATTTACCTTGGTCTTGAATTCTCAGCAAGCGCCACAGACATGACTAGAAATAGGAGACTTAGTTTTTATAAAGAAAAAAAGTCATCAATTCAACTTTATTTTCAGATAGTATGTACTTAGGAAAACCAAGATATTAAAATCAAAAGTAATAAGAATGAATAAAGCAATAGTTTTCCTTCATATCAGCAGTAACCAGTTGTATGTTCTAAAAGGAAAACACATACAAATTATTATAGCAACACAAATATAAGATACTTTTACAAGGAAAATATTACAAAGGTCAATAAAAGATGTGGCAGTTTATCTCCAAAGATGGCAGACCTTGCAGTTGGCACAGGCCACTTCCCCATCCAGAGGGAAGTATCCCTCCCCCTTAAGTCTGAGCCGTTAGGCAGCTGATTTGACCAATACAACAGGGCAAAAATAATCCCGTGTCAGTTCTAAACTTTGCTTTAAGAAGAGTGGTTCTGCCTCTTGGCATCCTGAGCTACCAGGTGAGAAATCCAGGCTACTCTGTTGGAGGGAGGGACCCTAGGAAGGAGTATTGATGAGCTTAATTTACAGGAAAAGAAGCCACTTTGGGCACTCAGCTTAGCTGACCTGGACTGCAACCCCAGCTGCCAGCTGACCACAGGCCAGGAGAGACCATGAGAAGAAAATGGAGCCATTAATTTTGTTTTAAAATATGAACCAAACCTTGACTGAGGCAGTTAACTCAAAACGGAATAACTACCATTATAGGGAACTAAAAAACTAAACTAGGAATTAAATTTATAAATTTAATGTAATTATAATCAAAATCCTAATGGATTTTATTTTTTAGTCAAAATTCTAAGATTCTAAAAGTTATTTTGAAAGAGCGAACTGATGAACATAATCAGAAATTTTTTAAAGAAATGGCAGAACCAATTTAGGGGAGTAAAGGATTTAGGACATCACCATTATTATATGTTCTTATTTATTTTTTCCTGTTTAAAACTAGCACTTAAGTCATAAAAACAGCAAATATGGTAAATTATGGATTGATATGTTTAATACAGAAAAATTTCACACATCAGTAGAAAAATGCCAATGACCCTAGGGAAATGAGCAAAGGACAGAGATGGGGAATTAACAAAGTAAGAAATATAATTAACCAGTAAACATAGGGAAAATGTGTGATTTACAAATAATAAAAGAGGTGACTGAAAACAATAAGACTTTGATTTTTTGCAGATAAAGTCGGCAACCTTTTTAAAAATACTATTCAACCTAATAATTCTTTTTCCAGGAAACTTCTCCAGAGAAAAATAATTTAAATAGGATAAAATTTTTATCCAAATATACTCATCACTGTGGTACAACTTGAAAAATACTTATATATTTGGTATTAGGAATAAAATTAATCAAAAATCTTGTATATTGAGATATTGTGCAGCCTTTATAATGTCCATGGATAGTTTTCAGTGTCTAAATAAATCTTTATTGAAGCTTAAGAAAAATATGAAGTTATAAAATTACATGTATATTTTATCTAAATTATATAAAATATAGAGAAAAATTTAAAAACTGGAGAAACTGCCAAAATGGTAGTAAAGTTGGCCAGTGAATGTTGAGATTCCAGGTGACTTTCTTCATCTTTGCACTTTTTTAGAATTTTCTAATGCAACAAGTATAATGGATTGTAAAAAAAAATCACAAAATGGATAATCAACAAAATGGATTATATAAAAATTGCAAGGAAACAAACATATTATTTTAAAAATGCCTTTGAGTTCCATTTCCTTATTTTCATAGGATTTGACTTTATCTTTAAATAAATGGCAGTTGGAAGACACCTTTGAAAACTCACAAAATTCGAAGGACTAAATTTACTATGAAGAGGTGGGGTGTATTCTCGGCACATGAATCTTCAGCTGTTGTATTACATATTTACGCTTTTAATTTTTCAGCATTATGTCTCGTTTTTCTCACGTTGCTTGTTTCTACATTAACAGCACAGCACCCTTTGGCAGTTGTTAGCCTTTATTTGGAGAGATTTGTTTATTCCCTTCTAACTTCTTCGCCAAACTAATTGATTTAGAGGCATGTTTTTAGCACTGCTTCTAACACCCGAATTTAATGAATGCTTGCATTACATTGTTATTGAATACGAAAAATATATTTTAAATCATACTAACAGTGGCTGGTTGAACAACAAGAATAGTGATCGAATGCTAACATAGAAGTTACCAGGCATATAAACGAATGTATGATTCACAAAATCCTGACAAAGGAAAGAGACCTTTGATTTACTTGCTACAGACTTTAGCATGTGGCCTTAGCATAGACACAGTTCATGATTCATTCTGCCTCCTACCTCTGCAGTTATGCAGTTTTTGAAGAAATCTGAAAATATTTGGATTTGTATGACTTTAAACATTGGTGCATGAATTAAGACTTTATTAATTTTGATATTATGGTCTCTTAAATTTGCGTAATTCTTGTTTGTAGAAAGTGGGATAGCATTACAGGAAATAAATGGAATGCAGATTATCACACCACATCTCTAGCCATACCTAACAAAATACAGATTATTAGGAGGCTATGAAGTTGTTTCCAAGGAGAGAAATGGAACAGAATCACACACTATTTCCTCGGCACCGCACCTCTTACACCGGAAGCTTATTACAGCTCATCTCAATTTCAAGTAAAGATCCTTTCCCTTAAGTATTCTCCATTTTTTTCTGACAAATGTGCATTAGAGGATTGGTCCAAGGCTGGCTGTTTGGTATGTGAGCCTTTGGGACAAGGGAGAAACAAGTTGAGGACAATGGTAGGAAGTTAACAGCACATACTCAGGAAAAGAAAGGAAAAGAATGAGTTCAGTCATGAACCAGCAAACTCGGGATGCTCAAGGGTCAGAGGAATGAAATGTTGATTAACAAAAGAACAAATATGACAATAGTAGTGAGAGAGTTGAAGAAGAGGAGGTAATGAAAAGAGGGTAAATTGGAATTCATTGTTTCAGAGGTAGGACAGTTCTGGGGAATGAGAGGCTAGGAGTCTTGGGAGTGAGTTTCTAGAGTGGAATTAAATCCATTGACTTTGGAAGGTGAAGGAATAGTAAATCAGAATGCTGGTTAGATACAAAATATACATGTTGCAATAACCTTTATATAAGAGGGTGGGGCAGAAGGGTGGGACCAAAGACTGGAAGTCAGATTTCCAAGATCTCAGTGAACTTCAGGGAGCACCTTGGAAGCCAATGTGTCTTCCCAGCCTTGTAGCTACCATTTGTGCATATCTGGTTCATTAGTATTGTGAAGTGCTCTTTTGCTTTTCTAAATAGAGCTGCCTTTTGAATTATTTTCATACAGGAGTTTTTAAAAAACAGCCCCCAAGCAGTTGCATAACCTTGTTCATTCAGAGATAGAAAACGGAGGAAGCTTTTAGTAGATAATTATGCTTTAGAGTTGGCATGCATCCCCATTGACCACAGGGGCTCCATGTTATTTTATAGTGAAGAAGAGAAACTGTATCTGTTTTGACAGTTTTCACAATAATGGCAGGGTTGGCCTATCCTACCCTTGGGACTCAGTGCACCGGTACAGACATAGCCTTGTTAAAATATTGATATTTATGTGCTAGTTGAAAATTAGCTGTGATTAGTCTCCCAGGACTCTGCAGGCCCAGCCCCGCCCTGGAGTCCCAGGACTCAGGGTTGCGTGCTGATTTTCCTGGGCCTGACACATGTTTGCCTTCGAGGGCCACTTCCTCCACTAAGAAAAAGTTAAACTGTATTTTACAACTGAGTTAGTATAACGACAAATATAATCAAAATTGGATTATCTGTTTTTTTAATTCAAAGATTATTAAAGAATATATTTCTTAGGCTGTATTTCTCATTTGCATTTTATAAAGAATACCCATCTTTTCCCTCTTCTTTTATACTGTTTGAATCTTTACCTATTTTTGACTGTGTTATTTTAGGACCATGCAATATGATCGTATTATTGTTAATCCTTCTTAAATCATTACCAAATAGCAATGGATGTTACATCAGACTAAATCGCACAATACACTTTTTTTCACCCCTGGGAAATAATCTTGGACTTATAGGCCATATTTTAAGAAAAATTTCCTGTATAATAGTTGCCATTGATTTCTACCCTGAGATGTTTATGGATATTATATTACTAGCATCATTTTCTGGCTTAACCACAAGTTTCTATCATTTGATAGAGTGTGTTTTTCAGAGTGGCATCTGCACATATTTTTTTTTTTTTTTTTTTAGAGATGAGGCCTCACTCTGTCACCCAGGCTGAAGTTTACTGGCCTGATAAAAGTTCATTATAAATTTGAACTCCTGGCCTCAAGGAATCTTCCCATCTTGGCCTCTCAAAATGCTGGGATTACAGGTGTGAGCCACCGCACCGGGCATATCTGAACATTTTTATACAATAAAATACATAACATAACATTTCCCATTTAAACCTTTTTTTAGTGTGCAATTCAGTGGCATTAAGTACCTTCATGTTATTGTTATATTCATTTTTAAAAGTTCTGATTTTAAAAGAAACTAAAAACCTGGGCCCCTAAAAGTATCATT